ATTTTGCTTATGAACATATACTTCATGGAGTTAAGCATGGCTTAACAAGGCATTTTGACAGTGATCCAGACATTTAAAGATCTTAGCTAATAGAGATACTGAACAGAGAACTGAACACAAATGACAGATGATGGACATTATCTGTCATTTTGAATTTACATGCCTATGCGTCTTCTCATAGCAGCTCAGGCTTTACAATACAGTAAAATCTGGCTACAGAGATTCTAATATTGGATGAAATAAACAAACTTATAGTGGTATAATACTGAATACCAATTCAAAGTGATCTCACTCTCCTAATGAATCTTTGCATTGTGACACAAGAGTTCTGTCTGTCTGCCACATTGCACAGGGTTATCTCCAGTGCTCCTACAGCCTTTACAAAAGCATAGAGCACAATTATTTCTAGTGTTACACCGCAGATGGATAATTTGCAGGAATTCAGTTACTGCTGGGTAGCCTGTGACACCATGGCTTCTTCTGGATAACTAGCATAAGCTTTAGTGCTATGTATTTCCTCAGCCTGTTCTAGGCTAACTTTTTATATTTCTTACTCTGGTCAGCTGAGGCCAAGATAAAATGCTCTTGGTTTTAAGACATAAATCTACCCACTAAATACTCCTCATGTCATACACTGATGTACATGGATTTCTCAAAAAAAAAAGAGATTGTGATCTGAGTGATAACAGGTCTTTCATGTGCTGCATCTCTGCACATCTCGCCCACTCATAATTTTGCTTCAGCTTAGAGACAGGCACTGCTAACAAGAACTAGGCACATCACAGCCAATCTACAAATCCTGGTGAAGAATATATTCAGACAATAAAGGCAAGAGTGTAGCGATGTGTGAAAGGGAAAAAGCACTACATAGCATATTCGCTTTCATCATTTTAGACAGATATGCTTTTTATTTTGCAATTGTTTTTCTTTTTTCACCAGAATTTGCACCTATTCAGAGGGCTATCAGCTTCCTCTCCGCCATGCCTTAGACAGAGCCCAGACTCTGGGCTCCCTTTCTATTGGCTATGATGGGGTGAAAAAGCTTCTGCTAAAGTGAAAGCCTAACAAGAAAGGCTAAACTGCACTAAAATCTGGGGGAAACATTTGCACTCTTTCTAGGAACATATATATGTCTATGTACAAAAATAGCATCAGACAGTGTCCTTTTAAAAAAGTTAAATATACATACACTGTTCGAATAGTTGCACAAACTAACCATTTCAACAGTTTTTAAATATCACACATTCAATTTTCATAAACAAGTTACAATCGAGTTTAGCAGTTCTCAATGTATTCAACATTGTTTTGGAACAGACTCAAATGCAACACACTTTACACTTCATAAAAACTATGTGCAGATACAAACACACTTCAGACACAAACAGTAAACAGTTCAAATTACATTCACTTCGTGGTAACAAGTTAACCAGCTGCTTCATGCAGTACCCTGGAATATGGCAAGGCCATGTGAAAGCCTCCATCCTTCCCCTAACACAGATCATCAACAACCAAGTTACAGTACAGTCACATAAAAATACTCTTAAGCACAAATAAAACCTTTAAGCCTGTCACAGTCCAGTTCTCTCAAACTTCCAGAACAACATATTCTATAAGTATTTTTATGAGCTCATCAGAAAAAAAAATAAACACATCAAGAAAAGGCTCGATTTACTTTGTATAGGCTAGTCTAACACATTAATTCATGAGTTCACAAATTCTCTAATTCCTAACTCACACACATACAAGCAAAACAGTTCCCCAGCCAATGGTGAGAGCGCTCCTGCTTGCTCCTCTCTCCTGGTGCAGCTGCTCCTTGTGCCACACCAGGAAACATGAAGGCCTCAACAAGTCCATCTGCTGTTGGATCTGCACCAAAAACTTTTAGATAAGCTGATGTATCTCTGACTTCCAGCTTGGAAGTTTGGTCTATAGAATTTCCGTATGTTAGTGTATTCTAAAGAAACTGCAAGACAGGTACTTTGCAAAGACAAAGATGCAGGTGATGAGAGGTGCAGCAGACACCACCCCACAAGTGGCAATGGCTGCGGGATGGCCCATGTACTCTTTCTGCCTACTGAATCCTGCATAGGTGTTGCTCTTGCTTTGTCCTAATGGCGCTGCTTCCAGCGCATGCTAGGTCTTAGCAAGAGCTCTGTTAGCAAAACCTGAGCAGGAGTTGATGAATAATCACAAGCCTAGTACTACATCAACAAGGTTTCAGGTGTGAATGTCAAACCTCCCATTTTGGCATAAATCCATCTGTCAGAATTGTAACAAAAATAAAGTAACATATTTCAATTGCAATACATGTGCAAAAGTGCCCTGAAAAAAACAGAACAAAAAGTAGCTTTGGCTAATGCTAACTAGCTTACATAGTTTTTATAAAAATACAAATAAAGTAGGTAAATAAGGAGAATTTTTGCAGCTCACCTGCATCAATTTACCATCTTTTTGCTAATGCATACTGCTTTTGCTTGTATCGACACTTTCACAAGCCATTTCATTTTACAGAAGGTAACAAATCACACAAAACTGACTGTCACTGAGAAGTGATTCTCGAATTTGTAATGTGAAGTGCTATGCTCGCAATGGATCTCATGGCACAGGTAGAAATCTTGTGACAAACTCCAGCCTGGGAGATGTAGTTGGAAGCTAACCGGTACAGCCTTTCTGCCCCAAATATGTTAAAGTGCCCAGGTAGTACCTTCTCCACAAGTCCTATGTCCACTAACTCCATAAGGCGCTGGCAGCTTGCAACATAGTCACTGATTCTACTGTAGGGGAGCCAGTCAATCATGGATCCATCATACACCACGTCCCCACTGAACAGAATCTTCCTGTCCTTGTCATGTAAGCAAATACTGCCCCTGGAATGACCAGGCATGTGCATGACAGTGAGCTGTCGATCTCCAAGGCTGATCACATCCCCTGCAAACAGATTTGTTACAGGAAAACACATGAATTTATCATGTTCATTAAACACCATGAGGAGAACGAACTACCTACCCACAGGCAAAGATTTATAAATAATAAATATCTGCAACAACAGAAGCAGGGCATTTATTTTCTTGGTGACTGCCAAAGAGGTGTCTGAAAGATATGCTTGACAAAAAGGTATTTTCCAATGATACTAATAGTTAACACAGGCTTAGTCTGTATTAATGGAATCTATTCCCACTCTAATAAATAAAATAATGTTAAAAGCAATGGAATAGAGAAAATAAAACAGGAAACAAACAGAACACATCTGAGTTTCCTTTAAAAAGTTTAAAAAGTAAGTATTTCACAATTTATTATCATTTTATCCTCACTTAAATCACCTAGAATTGCATTCCTGTTACTCCTGAAAGGCAAAAGGAAAGAACATAAACTGCTGGAGGAGAACCAAGACTGGCCTCCACACACTTTTATAACTCATTCAATAAGATATAAAAATAGACATTTCTTAACATTAGGTAATTTTTTGCCAGTTTAAATGTGAATTCATTTTCATTAAACCAACCACTGAACTGATACTTTCAGCAGAAAGTCAGTCTCATGTCTCAGTGAACATTATTTTAGAAACTTTGATATTATGTTGATACTTACATGCTTGCTCTTTCACAAGATTATTTTAATAATCCCTTCCTTTTAAAGAAAAAAAGCCTTAAATTTCTGCTGATTTACTATAGTTAAGTGTCACATCAGCTCTTCACTGAATCCTTCAATAAGTTCAGTTCTGCTTTTCCAAGCATCTATGTGGGATGGTCTAATAAAGCCAAGAGAGTAAGTTCCCAGCCAAAGGTGTCACTTGTCTGTCAGACACCTATCCTTTAACTTCTGCTGCACTGTATTGTACAGTTTAGGTGGTTTGTTGCCAAAAAAACTAGTCCTGTTACCTATGAAAGACTAAATGGATTCTTTGATCGGCAACAAGCCACTTCTCTAAATGTTACATCAGTAACAAGCCACTTTTTACAGACGTTTAACATAATTCACGTAAAATTCCGTAAATGCATGTGAATTCTGTAGAACAAAAACTATATCCACAGTACATATTTCAAGAAACTGTCAATTGCATTACTGTGTCTTGGCAGCTTATAAACAAGGGTCGCCAGATGGCAGAACCGATTGACTCGGTGACACACTGTTCGAAGCCTTAGGGTAAGCCTGGGGTACTCAATTAAGTCACTTAAATCACTGTTCAGAGATTCTTATTCTAATGGAGAAAAAAAACAAACCAAACCAAAACCAACAAAAAAACCCCAAACAAATAAAAAGAAACTACTAGAAAACCCCCCAAAACAAACAACCCGGCACCCTCCAAAAAACAAACAAAAAAAAAAAGGAAAAAACCCCAAACCAACCAAACAAAAACACCCTGATGCCAAATACTTTCAGAACTGCTGGAAACGAGGTTTAACCCACTACGCGTCTCCTTGGTCCCCGCTGACCACGTCTTGTAGGCTGACGGGAGTGAAAAAACACACCGGTTTAACTATTTTATACGAGGAGCCGAGTAAAGCAGGACGCGCAGGGCGACAGAGACGCAGCTCCAGGGTGGATAACCAGAACTCCCGGTTCCTCACCTTCCTGCAGGAGGCGGCTGGGCCGCATGGGCGGGACGCGGAATTGCCGCGCGCTCCAGCCGGGCTGCGGCGGCCGCGCCACCTCCCGGTCCGACAGCCACGTCACGGCCTCATAGTTGTCGCCGCGCAGCAGCGCGGCCGCCTCGGCGCTGTGCACCGCCACCTCCTCGAAGTGCTGCAGCCCACCCGAGTGGTCGAAGTGGACGTGCGTGGCCACGGCCAGCAGCGGCCGCGGCCCAGCGCCCTCGGCCGGCGCCAGCAGCCCGGAGTCGCGCAGGTAGTCGGGCAGGCTGCGCAGCCCCAGCCCGGCGTCGATCACCACGTCCTGCTGCGAGCCCCGCACCAGCCAGATATTGGCCCGGTTGCCGGACTCGTAGAAGCGCTCCTGGATCCAGAAGATGCCGCCCCCCAGGGGCTTGTGCGCAAACCACTCCAGCGAAGACATGACCCAGCCGTCGCTGGTCGGCGGCGCAGCACCCCCAAGTTCCGGCGGCGGCGGGCGGGGCTGGCACGGCCCGGCCCACTGCGGCAACGGCGGGCGGAGCGCGAAGGGTGAGAAGCGGTGGAGTCTTGAGGGGTTGGTAGGCTTGGCTGCGGCGTGAGGGGCGAGCGGGTTGAATCCCCTTCCCTGCCGGGGCAATACCCGGGGGAGGCGGCTGAGACCCGCCCGCGGGTGGGGAGGTAAAGCCGAAACGCCCTGGGCCCTTTAGGGATCCCCGACGGGTTGGGGCGGGGGGTGGCGGGCAGTCAGCGAGGGGAGAGGGAGCGGGAAAGGAAGGGAGAGGAGCCGCGACGGGTATCATCACACGGCAGGGGTTAGTGACCGTCGTGACAAACATCTTCACCCGTTTACCTTCAGGGACGTCAGATTAAAAAAAATAAACACCCACAAAAACTTAGTGTCTAAAGTTCGGTCCTTTATTCTGTATATGCCCTTCCCTTCCACTGATTGCATCTGCTTCTGAAAAGCAAGGGTCTATGATCCACAAAACACGATCTTCGTTCTGAGGATACCGAGAACCTGTGGGAGTGCTCAGCCTCCTCCCGTCCGCTGCCGTCGGTCCAACCGCCTCGCAGCTGCCAGGGATCCCGATTCCAGAGGCCTTTCCCTCCCCAAGGCATCGGCTGCCTTCCCCTGAGTGAGTGCCTGAGAAACTGCATACGTAGGTTTGAAGAAGTTTTAAAAGCTTAAATCTGAAAATCTTCTCATTTATAGAGTAAGTGGCACACAAACTACCAATAAACATGAAAATGCCCTCAGGTGCTCCATTAGACATCCCTCGGGGCAGCCAGAGCTAGTTGTAACTTTGTCATGCTTGGTGACTCAGTTGTTCAACTTTACTTTCCCTTCACGATTTGTCCAGTCATCTGTCACTGCCAGTTTATGCTGTCAGTAGATATAAAACCTTCTAAGCCAGTATGCTTGAAAAAACCACAAGTTTGGGTAAAAATTTGGAGTTGAGATACTGCTAGTTTAAACCTTGTTACTTCTCATCAGACTAATGCTCTTTTTCAAGGGAATTTACTGAGAATTAATTTTAAAGCAGCATTTTAAAAATGAACCTTTGTATTCACTACATTTAATGTAAAGCATGCCTCTCTTTGGTAGCTCAACATCTCGCTTAACTTTTATTTTGTTGTGTTGTTCTGTTGTTGGACTCAAAGTGGGGATAGTACTGAAATTTATTACTAACAGGATAAGAACCAAAGAGTGAGAAACAAAACAGTCTTAAAAACACCTTCCCCCACCCCTCCTTCCGTGTTCTCCCTCCTCCCCCCCCAGCGGTGCAGGGGGACAGGGAATGGAGGTTATGGTCAGTTGTTTCTGCCGCTGCTCAGAGAGAGTAGTCCTTCTCTTGCTCCTGTGGGCTCCCTCCCATGGGAGACAGTCCTTGATGGACCTCTCCAGCGTTGAGTCCATCCCTCAGGCAGCAGTTCTTCCCAAACTGCTGTCCTGTGGGTCACTTCTCCATGGGGTGCAGTCCATCACTAATGAGCTGTAGCGACGTGGGTCCCCCACAGGGGCCACAAGTCCTACCTGGGAAAAACCTGCTCCAGCATGGGCTTCCCTCTCCACAGGCTGCAGGTATCTGGCAGGACCCTGTTCCATCTTGGGCCTCCCATGGAATCACAGCCTCCTTCATGCATCCACCTGCTCCAGCATGGGCTCCTCCATGGGCTGCAGGGGCACAGCTGCTCCACTGTGGTCTGCACCACGAACTGTAGGGGCCTCAGCTCCAGTGCCTGGAGCACCTCCTTGCCCCTCCTTTTGCACTGACCTTGGTGTCTACTTGGTTGTTCCCATGTTCTCACTCCGCTCTTCCCTGGCTGGAATTCTTTCTGCACCTCAACCTTCTGTTCTTAAATACATTATCAGAGAGGTGTTACTGTTACTCCTAATTGGTTTGGCCTTGGCCAGCAGCAGGAAGTTCATCCTGGAGCCAGCTGGCATTGGCTCCACGAGACAGGGGAAGCTTCTAGCAGCTTCTAACAGAAATCACCCCTGTAGGCCCCCCCTGCTACCAAAACCCAGCCACAGAAACCCACTACACACACCTAGATAATATAATTGCTCACATTTGGGGCTTGACTGTATCTTTTGTCTTTTTCCATTCTGCAAGGCTCACATCTTGCTTTTCATCCTATTTTCAAAGGAGTTTTTTTTTTTATTTTCCCTTTTTTTTTTTTTACATTCCAGTTAATAGCATGCTTAGCCCTAGCTTTTGCTTTGTTTTCTTTCCTAAAAATGATTTATTTAGGTCTCTCTGCTTAGTTGTAGACAGTATTCTGTGCTGCAGAGAGCCGTGGAAATACATAATGTGATTTTGTTTTATCCAAACAGCTTATTTCTCTTGAAAATCACAAGTAGGAAAAAACTGGCATCAACCTGTTTCTCACTGGCGTGTAGTAGAAAGGCCATTGCTTCTGTTTGGGGAGAACTAGTTGTGATGATGCAGGTACAGCAGTAGGTATGGAACAGACCTTTCATACTAAGCAAGGTGCAGTACAGTGACCTTGCAGTCAGTGATAAATAGCTTGTGGTATTTCTAGGCTGGGGCCTTGCACTAATCTCTGTGTGGCCTTGGCACACTGCTCCATCCGAGCTTCTCTTGGATCACACTTCTTGACATCTTACCCCAATCTCATATTTTGCTTTATTTGCCAACCCATGGGTCATGCAATTCATGAGATGAAGGTTGGTGTAACCAGTGTAACCAGTAAAGGTGGAGAGATGTGACTGTAAATGTTTTCCAGGCTCTTTTTCTTTTATACCCTTTGTTAAATATTTTAGTTAGACACAAGCTCCTTTTATCAGCAGTTAGCTTGTAGTCCTGCTGGAGTCTTTTGATACCTTTTGATTGCCTTAAGCCTCTTTGCCTGTGTCACTTCATCAGGACCCCAAACTAGTTACTAAGATAAAGGACAAAAAACAATCTAAGGATGAAGAAGTCATGAATGATAAACACAAACTAGTTTTTGGAAAAAGGTTCAGAAATCGCAGAATGTATTAACATAAAGTTCAGGGTCCTTAAACCTTTATTCCCCCTTTTGTTTCTGGTTCTAATTAAACTCAATACAGTGAAACTAAGGTTTAGAAGAAGAAAGTTTAAAACTCGTAGGCTGGGAGGTAATTTCAGGCACACAGAGGTGGCTGGCAGAAATAAGGGAATGGAGCTCATTTTAGGCATGTACCAAATTTATGGTCTGCTGAAGAACCTATGAAAATGGCTTCCTGTTTAAAAATGATCTTTCGTCTTAAAATGATTGTGATCTTTGTTAGACATTAATTTTCTAGGTAATATATACATGAATTTCAAACACATAATGAAAATATGTATGTTTAAAAATCTGTAATATTTTCAGTACCTCCAAATGGCTGGGTCAGGTAGAGGAAGAGGACGTGCTTCGTTTACCTTCAACATTGAGGCTATTGGATTTGGTAATGGTGCAGCTCTGCCTGATGTCATCTGTAAGCCTCTACCACCATTTCCAGTAAGTACAGCCAGTACTGTGAAGCACATTCTGTGTTCAGGTAAAGTGTGTTCACACTTGTGTTTAAGTAACATAATGAAATATATGAACAACCTCAAGCTGTTAGGTCAGTTTTGAAGTATTTAATAGAAGTCACTATTTTTCTTATTGCTAATTCCTGTCCCTTTGCTAACTGTTGTTATTATTTATATATGTTATTATGTTATATATTTAACTAGAATTGCTTGCAAGCTGTTAGCGTGTTGAAGCCCTCATCATGATTTGGTTTTCTGGACATTACAGTAATGGTAACACTGGATACCTAAATTCGTCTGAAATTAATTTAAACTAGTCTTTGAGGCTGTGAATGGATTTGCTGATTTTAGACAACTGCTATTTATGCAAAGATGAAAGATTGTGTAGAATTGTTGTGTACCTCAGGAGCCAGCGTTTGAAAATAACTGAAAGATACTTTGTATAATTAAGGAAGCTTAATTGAGTCTTGGCATTTGGGATGTATTTGAAAATTAAAGGGGAAGAAGGAGCATTTTCTGACTGTGTTTTGCTGTGCAGGGAAGCTTGGACAATTTTGAGGCAGAAGAGTAGTCTTACAATGTTGCAGTTTTATGTAAGAGAATTTATCATTTATGTCAGGATTTGATCAAAGTGCATGAAATTTTTTGCAATCTCATGTGTTATGATACAGAACTTGCAAGTTTTACATACAATTGGTGCTACGCTGAGATTTCTCCGAATAGTTTTCTCACCCAAGGCTTTGACTTACGGAACCAGATGCTGTTTATCCTCTCAGTCCAGCATTACAATTAAGCTGTGATTTCATATTACTAAATCATCTGTAACTGTTTCTAATGTGAGTGTTGCAGTCTGCTTGATAGCACAGTTCTGTGCCATCTGAATTCTGTATAATCTGCAGGTTCTGAGTTACAGTTAGCCTTGTAGGAGAATTATTAGCCCCAGTATATCTAATGTATACCATGGATAAGTTAAAAATGCTTTCTTCCTTCTATGAAGAAAGTTTCAGAACCAAGTTAAACTTCTCAGGGCAAATCTAGTGCCATTTAAGAAAATCAGAGTTAACCCAGTTGTATAACTCATCATGGCTAGGCTTCACAAACGAAGATTTGGGAAGGGCTCTACCCACGTTTGTTAGAAGCGCGCTGGTGGCTAAAAAGGCCAATACGAGATAGGCACATCCGGTTGCAAAAGGCACAGCAGAAAGACTCCTTAGGTGGTATATTCTGCAAGACACGATTCTTTCTGCGTTGTCTTTTCTCCTCAAGAGTGATCCTGCGTGTGTTCTCAAAAGCATCAGCAGCGTTATAGATAGTGTGTCTCCAGGCCTCCTGATTGGAGGCCAGAGTAGACCAGTTATGTTGATCAATATGGCCAAGGCTGAGATGTTTTAGGGAATCCTTGTATCTTTTCTTTGGGGCTCCTCTCATGCGGCAGCCAGTGGCAAGTTCACCATAAAGCAAGATGTTAGGGAGGCGGTGGTCCTTCATCCTGGAGATGTGTCCTGCCCAATGCAGCTGTGTTCTCAGCAACATGGCCTCAATACTTGTGACTGCTGCTTATTCTAGAAAAGGTCAATAAAAAATTCAAGTGTTAGGTTTAATGATTGGTCAACGACCAAAAGTGAGTTACAGTTGTTGACTGACACTGAAATAATTTGAAGCAGTGAACTGTTGCTAATAAATATAGCTGGAAGCAGTAAAGTCCTTTCATGGCCCAGGTCTGGGACTTGTGATAGGACTTTTTGCTCTGCAACCTAACACTCAGGTATTTATTGTGCACCATCTGTCATGTGAGAGAAACAACATCCATTGTGGAATTCCATCTTTAGGATTCTTGATATTTTTAAACTGGTTTTGTGTATTTATCTTTCCCAATGTCAAGATTCATAGTTAAAACAAAAACCAAAAACCAAACCAAACATCACAAAAAAACCCAAAAAACACACACCAAAAACCCCGCAAAAAACAAACGAACCAAACAAAAAAGCCAACCAACCAACAACCAAGAAACCCCTTACCCCAGAAAATACAAACCCAAAAAAATCCAAGCCTTGACAATTCATTTAAATTCAGCTGACGGAAACTGAATTGTGTGAGGGCCTGTGTGCTACCTGGTTTTGTGACAGCACTACATATTCCCATGACAATAGTCATGGAAAAGGTGTCCATGTTATTCAGAAATCATACTTAATGTAGTTAAAACGCTGTTTTAGAAGTGGTTAAGGCCAGCACTGTGACTGAAGAGAGAAGAAATGGTTTCTGACTAAGGTTAGTGAGAAAAACTGCTTTTGGCTAGTCAGGATGACTATGAATGACTATTTCACAGTTTTAACATTTTTTTTTCTTGATTTCTTGATACATTTTTGCAGAAAGATATAGTCAAGTTATATAAGGTATAAATTTAGATGTAAACATAGTTACTATGCATGTCAGAATGCAATATAGTATACTTGTGAAGTAGTGTAATGCATAGTTGCATTCTTTTTTTGTTAGCTGTGTTTATTGTAGCTTTTATTAGTGTACCTGTGTATTTGGTGGATATCAAGACCTTATATATAATAAACATAATTTGTACAGAGTACAGACAATAAGCCAGTGCCTCTGAAAACAGGAGAAGATGAAGATTACATGTTGGCCTTAAAACAAGATCTTAGAGGAACTATGAAAAGAATGCCGTACTTTTTGACAGTAGAAGAAGAACATCAAGGTTTGTGAGCTTTTTATTTATATCTTTAGTTACTATTCTGGGAAGGCTAATATAGGGAAATGCATGTGTTAAAGATGAGTCTCATACTAATAATGAGGAAGAAAAAATAGCAACTTAAGATAATAGGGAATTTTTCTGCTTTTACACTTGTTGAAATCATGCTGGAAAGCAACTACTGTTGAAAAAGAAAGGTATGAAACATCTACTCCATTTGTTATACAGTAAGAAACATTTAGACCGACTACATGCAGTCTTTTCAATTATATGCTAGCCTATACAAGTGCAATAGGCATTTCTACATGTTAAAATGCCATAAAATTTTGCATTAGAGCAAAGAATTCCATAGTAAATACTAGTCTTGAATTTCAGCTTTCATTGTGTAAAGATATAGTCAAAATAATCAATATTATATTTAATGGATGAACATTCTAAAAGGTACTCAGCTTTTTTCCCCCCCTAAGTCCATTCAGGAAATATTAATAAGTGTTACTGACAAGTCACTGGAAATGTGAAGACTGAGGTGAAGATAAGTGATTTACTGAGGTTTGCACCAGAAGCAGAGCTGGATTAGAAGCCAGATCTTGATCTTATTCTGCTTGATCTCAGAATTTCTTTTGCTTGCATGTAATTAAATATTAACTGCTATGTTTTTGTTTGATAACAATAAGTGCTATTCTATACTTGACATCCAGTCATACATCATTGTATTGTTAAATTCAAACTTCCTAGTCAGAAGACTGAGCTAGTAGGAAAGAAGAAAGTGGAGCAGGAATGCTTAAATATCTGTTTACCATACTGTGAGGGTATTGTAAATCCAGAAGTCACAGGAGGTTATTACTGTGAGAAGTCCTTCTTTTCATTCATGATTTTTTGCCTGGTTTTATCAGCCCCCTGAGTGCTTATTCTGAATGTTATAAATCACAAGTGCTGTTATAGCTTTATAAAAGTGCTTAAGAAATTCAAAGTGGTTAGACACTAAATCATCTTTTCCTTGCTATCTTGTGCTGATTTTGAATAATGAGAGCTGACTTAAACTCTAAAATATAAGGTTTAATTTCCACCCCAAAACCATCAGAATGTTTTCTGACTGAGTAGTCATGATGTTGATAACATAGAGGTGCATAGTGTAATCCCCTCTGAATTTTGTTAATTTCTGTTCATGGTGTAGTGGTGAATTCTAGATGGTTTTGAGACTGTGCAGTTTTTTTAATTAGGCTTTGACTGTTACACTGAATAACACACCTTATTTGTTGTCCACTTGTTCTTGAACTAAAGCCCAGTATAAAATGGAGCAGTGTCCTACAGTGTGAGCAGTGAATACACTGCCAGACTGACGTTGTGTTTCACAAAAGGCAGAGTTCCCCTGACATGCAGCTGGAGCCCAACAACCACTGGGACGCAGCTCTAGTGCAGCACAAGCACAGACCAGGGTGGAAACCTGACAGTGCAGCCAGATAAAACTGGTTATGAGGCAAGAACAGATCTGATCCTTATTTCTAGATCCCTGTGTGATGAGATAAGAACTCTAAATTACTCTATTATCACACCTTCTCTTTCATCTTCTGAGTAAACAAATTTCAATCAGTTTGGATTCTCATCTCACTAGGGGCTTGCTGTGCTCTTGATCTTCTTCAGGCTTGGAGTTTGCTATTTCCGTTAGAGGCACAAAACAGGAAACTGCTATGCCTGAGAACCAGTCAGGGTTATTTCTGATGAGCCTGCTGCTTTATGAGAAAATGTTATCTCTCTTTTCCAACTTTGCCTTTTGTGATCATTCTTACTGATCACCTCAAAATCATCTTTGTTTCTGCAACCTTCTTTCTGAATGGAGAGATCTCTCTCTCTTGCTTTGTTCCTTAGTAGAACTGCCAGCTTTGAATACTGGTTTTTAATATCAAAATTGGAAATTGCAGAGAAAGCGGGTAGACCTCTTGATAGACTGAAATAATGCTCTGAATGTTCTCATCATCTCATCATCTTAACCTTATCAAGGGTAAGTTGGTAAGTTGAGGTAACTTTTTATTAAATCTTTAGTCGTACAAAAATGCTGCATCTGAGGGGTGCGGTATAATTACATCAGCAGTGGTCTGCAGTTTAAAAAGCTTGTTTTCATATCAGTCATAGTGTGCAGTTGTCTGTGGGACTGCACTCTGGCAGGAGTGGCCTAGTTTTAAGAAAATTGCATTTATCCCCCAGAATAGACTGGTTTTAACTGATCTTTTCTCTTATCTGGTTTACAGCTGTTTGCTCCACTTTATTTCATCAAACATCTGGTAGAACTAAGAGGAGGCAAGAGGGCTTTGCTACAAGAGTGACTGGATTGTTTAAAACCCTCAGCACAACATCTCTGAGCCAAATGGTCCTTGAAAGTGCAAGAAGGGAAACATTTTAATTAGTTGGGATGTAGCTATCTATCTCATTATTCAGGTAGTAAACAAAAGCTGCATATAATGCTACCTGTCAAATTTGATGTGTTAGTGTGCCATATAGAATAGATTTCCATCATTCATTTCACTGCTTATGTTGAGTGAATAGCAGGCATATTCTATAGAAAGTTCTTTATTTTCCTCATTAAATTAGCTATTAATCATTAATATTTTTCCTGTAGGTATATCTGCTATGACTGGGTGACTGCCACTTTGGCAGTGGCTTTGAATGAATTCATTAGTTGTGAGAGGTGTGAGTCAGTCAATGATTTCTTGTACCGATGGCAGTATTTCTTCACTAAAGAGCCTTGAGCTGAAATCAAAACTACTGGCTTCTTTTCCTCTCTTTGCTGACAGTTTCCTACAGCATCTGTGAATGCCCCTTGAAACACTGTTATTTTAAATGCAGGCTCTTTCTTGAACAGTTGTAAGAAGGTTTTCTGCTTGCCCTCATCATAACTAAGTTTAAAATTGAGCTTAATTTATGATATCTTCTTTCTCCCTGCTGAGCACACATCTGAAGGACAGGATGCCATCCCGAGGAACCTAGACAGGCTCAAGAACTGGGCCCATGGGAATCTCATGAGGTTTAATAGACCAAGTGCAAGGTGCTGCACCTGGGTTGGGGCAACCCCCCAGTATCAACACAGGCTGGGGGATGAATGGATCAAGAGCAGCCCTGCCAGGAAGGATTTGGGGGTGCTGGTGGGTGAGAGGCTGGAGATTAGCCATCAATGTGCACTCACAGCCCAGAAAGCCAAGTGTGTCCTGGGCTGCATCCAAAGCAGTGTGGGCAGCAGGTCAAGGGAGGTGATTCTACCCCTGTGCTCTGCTCTGGTGAAACCCCACCTGCAGTGCTGCATCCAACTCTGGGGTCCCAGCACAGGAAGGATATGGACCTGTTGGAGCAAGTCTAGGGGAAGAACACCAAGATGATCAGAGGGATGGAGCAGTTCTCCTATGAGGAAAGGCTGAGAGAATTGGGATGGTTCGGCCTGGAAAAGAGAAGGCTTCAGGGTGACCTTACTGTGGCCTTCCAGTACCTGAAGGGAACTTACAGGAAAGATAGGGCAAGAGAGCACGTAGTGACAGGACAAGGGGAAATGGGTTCAAACTGAAGCAGAGTAGGTTTTGTAGATATAAGGAAAAGATTTTTTACTGTGAGGGTGGTGAGGCACTGAAAGAGGTGCCTAGGAAAGTTGGTGGATGCCCCATCCCTGGAAGTGTTCGAGGCCAGGTTGGATGGGGCTCTGGTATAGTTGAAGGTGCCCCTGCCCATGGCACTAGGTGATCTTCGGGGTCCTCTTCCAACCCAAACCATTCTATGATTCTATGTTAGAAGTGTTTGACTCTAAAGGTTGTCTCAGTTACTATTTTTTGTGCAATACCCACAGAAATTATCCCTGTTTGAATAACGGGTTATTAGTGCAATTGGATTCACTAATTTTGCATGAAGAAAAGGTAAGAAAAAAGGGGACTGATTTAAAAATACTAAGGTTTTGATACTGCTTTTGTCATTACAGATTTTACATGAAAGGTTTTTTCAATATAAATAGATGTGCTTACATTGCATGACCACTTACGATGCATTTCTCAGTTTAGTTCTTGTGCTGGATTGTACTGTATTGTACTGTAACGGATTAAAGTGTGTTGCTGCTGTTTAGGATGGGGTGCAAAGCTTTTCATTTGCAGAAGTACTGAAAGTCTTGAAAGGTGATGATCAGACTGAGACACAGCCTTTTGAGAACTGGGAATTCTGGATGGTTTACATAGGGATGTTAAATGTCAGTGACTGGTTTTGTAGCAAAGGTTTGATTGTGAAAATCTTGAAGAGTATAACAGTTAGTGTTACTTTGATGTTTCAACCTAGTTTCCCTGATTAAATCTGCATTTTATAATTTCATGCATTTCAAGGATAAAAGCATAAATTATAATAATTTTGGAGTGCTTTTTTTCTTTTTTTCTTTTTTTTTTTTTTACTTTCTTGACAACAAGAAAGTGTTCAATGTGGGAATAAAAAAATACACTGTATATTTAGTTACAGGAAAATATCAAGGACTATGTCTGGATTGCCTGTTAAATCAGTTGAAGTCAGTAACTCTTTGTATCCTTCTCTATAGCAATTGAGAGGTACAGTCAAAAGTACCAGGACAGTGAAAAGGAGCAGAAAACATGGACTCCAGGTAGCATCTGAGGCTAATTTTCTGTTGACCTGTAAAATGTTCTGCTCTTTTAAGTGTTTGATTCATTATTTTTCAAGCAATAAAAAAGTATGAAAATCCTTACCAAGTCATGTTTTTCTTGTTGAGAGTTATTGTCCTTTGCATGTTTTCAGATCAAGGCAAGTATTGTTTTGTCAGAAAAAAAAAAGGGGGAAAAATCTGATCTTATTTATTTACTCAGTTGTAACAACTGATTTGCAGCAAAAATGCAAGCTTCAGCTCTGACTTCAGCTTTTTTTTTCCTGACTCACCACACAGATACCAGTTTTGAACTGGGAGCAAACATTGATGTTATTAAAAATAACCCAACCTGATGTCTGTCATGGGTAGTCATACCTGTATAGCTCACTACTGCAAACTTAATTACATAATTTAAATTGAAGGGCCCATGGGCCACTGGAATGGCTGAACCAGTTGTCATTATGTGGGGGAAATGACAGTCCTGAGTCCAGTTCCTCAATTTAAATTACAGCTAGAATTTCCTAAAACTGTTGTATGCTAAAACGTTTTGGCATCCATGTAAATAGGATCAAGAACAACAGGGGCCTGTTCCTTTCCTTGGTGAGTTACAGGGAGAGGATTACTGCAGTAAATCATCATTTTTCTATATTAGAACTGTTTTCTGTACAGATTGGAGAAGACTCCCAAGAGAGATGAAACCAAAGAAGACAAGCAAAAAAGGTACATTATATATTTTTAAGAAGCAAATAATACACACTAGTTGAGAGATAGAAGACATACTGGAGCTGCTTAGAGGAAAAAATATTGTAGAAATGTTAATTAGTCCAAATAATCAGGTCTTTTGGCATAATTTACTAGTCTGCCTGCCTTTTGTGGTTTTTGCAGGATGTTTTAACTTATTTGTGCGGATTTATCTTCCTTTCCTGACTCCTGTATGGATGTACCATATTTCACTATACATACGAGATATGTAACAGTGAAAAATTAAAAAAAACAAACAAACAAGGCTTTTTATTTTGAAAACTTGTACCTTAATCAACACTCACCCTTCTATTCAATAAATAACTGGCTGTTCAGATTTCCTTTATATTTTGGGTTTCTCAATTATTTATTATTTGGTTGAGTTTTGCAATTTTTTAAGCCTTTTATATGTGGTTTAATGTGGGTTATTTTCTATTTCCCTGGTTTTACTTTTTTTTGTTTGTTTTCAGCTTTCTTCTGCAGAATTGTGAACCAGATCCTTCAACAGCAGTTGTAGCTGGTATTGGCTGTTCTTACAGGAAAAAAGATTTTGTTACACAGCATCATTTGTTTCAAAGTGTTTTCTAGTGTGCATGATTTAAGTTCTCTATAGAAAGCTGTTGTTCTGATGATGTGAAATAACACTTGTCCTCCTGTATCTAGCCGTCTATTTATATATACTTGTATATTTTCTTATTCTTTTTGTCCAAGTCCCTCATGTGTCATTTTTCAGTTCAGGGATAAAATAGAAAAAGAAATGGAAATGTGCAGTAGTGACAAAGACTGGCTCAGCTGGAAGCTTTGTTCCTTTTAAGAATGCTCTTGAGAAGCATGATACTAAAGGTGGACTGTAAGATTCAGCTGAAAATCAAATACTTATTTGCAAAATCTCTAAAGGTGGGACCAGAATATACCTACTTTTTTCCCCCCCAACATGAGGAAACCACTGGCTTTTGTAAGCCCATGCACAATATGGGCTTACATATCCAATTAAATAATAAATAACTATTAATCCTTGTTTAAAAAATATTATGATTAAGAGAAAATCACTGCTCACTGCAGGATCTTTCCTCTTTCTTTAGTGCCAGTTTCTCTATTGGCTCTTAAAAGTACATTTTCCTACATGGCTATAATGGCAAAGAGATAGGTGATCATCAGAATTTGACTGGACTAAAAAAAGCTTCCCTTGAAAGCAAAAACTATGTGGTTTAGTTTTTTGGGGGAATTCTGATGATACAGAGAGCATACAAAAGTTATATGACTTGGGACATTTGTATGTAGCTGGTCAGTGACACATCAGCCCTCCTGGTACATATCTTGCTTGTATTTTGAGGACAGCTAACTTAGGTGACACTTTAACCCTTGTGGAACAAACGTGAGTCAAGAGAATTTGCACAGAAATTCAACCAGTCTTTCTACCATTCCCCATTGTAGCATGCAGGAGTGGTCTGAGGATCCCTACACAGTTAAATGTACAGGGACAGCTTTATTTTTACACGTGTCTCCCTTCCTCTTTCTGGTTTCCCTGAATATTTTAACCAAAGATCTGACCACCTGCCTTCTTAGTGACAAAACTTTGGATAGAATTCCATATCTCTCCCACACTGACCCTGGGCTATGGAACACAGTATTCTAGATAGCAGCGCTGCCTGCCAAAACCAAAACAAAATAACAAACCAAAGGAAAAAAGAAAAAAAAGGGAAAAAAAAAAGATGCTGACTGGGTTCAGCTGACATTGTAGGCCAGCCATATGCATATGTATATAGCAATCAGGTAGGTACATGCCTTTTAGCCCAAGTACTTAGAGAATGGGTATTTGGAAATCAGATTAGACTGTATTCCCTTGCCCCTCTAAGGTATATGATGTAGAGAGCTGTTTCGCTTGAAGTTCTTCTAAAGATTGGTCAGGATCTCTAATTTCATGATACAGGCTAAAGATGCTTAGCATTTAAGGACAAATCTTACATGTCTGTTCTATCTGCATTTAATCTAAAAGCCTGCAGGAGTTCGTGCAGAGATGACAATTCTGAATTGCACTTTACATTTGTTTTCCTTAAAAGCCTACTTCATTCTGGATCTGTTTGCTTTGATGTTGTTCATATTTTACAGAGCAGCTTGACTCCCCTCAGCTCTTTGCAGTGCTTTAGTCACATAATTGTTTCCTAGGCAAAACACTGAAATAAACTCAGTGTTACATATGGCAAATGCTTTTGACAAAATACAGTTGTTTGCTCAGCAGTTCTCAGGGTTCTACTTCCTTGAGTATTAGACTGGTATTTGGGCAACTTTAATACAGGGTGCTGCAATTCAGGTAGCTCTTAGCTGGGTATGTGGAATGCTATTTTTGACCTTTGCTCCATCATATAATTAATCAGGGAGTAACCTGGTAAAGATTATGTTCAGGAATCAGGGGGCTAGGTGCAAATACATTCCGTGGACTCATTAGATGAGAGCCAGCTATGGCCCAAGAGCCATGTAGCTACAGTAACCATGCCTTCTGTGCTACAGCTAATGAACTGTTGTATTCCTTTTTTTAAATCTACTTATCTGAAGCACCCAGCTGTCATTACTGTGTTGTATAAATTAGTAACAATGAATTTCTGTCTTTTCAAGATGATGAAAAATAACGAGAGAGATTTTGTTCTAGTTTTGTAACATATTGTGAGCAGGTAGTTGACAAGTCTTTTGTGAAGCTGGACATCATACTTTAGCCAAACCTTTGGTCAACTACTTGTTCAAACTGAATTTCAGATTGGCCTTCTAGGCATGTCTTACATAAACCAGGCACTTACACCTCTATGAATGATGTAGCTCAAAGTCTAAGGTAATTTTAATACAGCCACTATGGGATTTCCCTGGCATACTCAAGATGTAAGCTCATAAAACCAAGTAAAACAAGAGAATTTGTGCTTTCTGTATTAAAAAAATAATAGTGATGTATTTTATTTCACCAGGTGCAAAACCAAAAAAGGCAAAAAACTTTGAGCTTAAAAGTAATCTGGATGTGATAAAAAAAATTGAGGTAAGATGTGCATACTCTTTCTAAATTGTACAATAGAGATTGCTGAAGGAAAATGAAACCTAGTATGTTTTTTGGTACAAATGAAATAACCAGAACAGCCTTTATTCTGGCCTTGTCATGTTACTCTGGCAGACAGCTATTCTGCACTGCGGTGGCACAAGAGTTAGCGTAAGGATAGAGCCTGGATAGCTCCTATTTGTACCTGAACACAACAACCAGTTGCTCTTCACTGGGTAGCAATACAGACTAATGAGAACAGCAGAGCTATTGTTGGAGCTTACTGAAGGAGAAACTGGTGCCAGAGCTTTTAAATCTATTGCTGTTTCACCATTCTACTGATGTGAGAACTTAAACAATTTAGTAAGTTGGGAGGGAAGAAACATACAGAAAGAGAAACTTAGGAAGTGACCTCTGTTTTGCAGGCAATTACTCACCATGTGGGAATGGGAAGCTTAAAGGTGGAACACCTTTGTATTTTTTCTTGTGGTGATCCATCAGTTATTTGGTGCAGTTATATTATTACATTGAGTATATGATATTGCTTTATCAATTTATGACATGGCCTTCTCCTGTCAACTGTGCTATCAGTGGATGGTAAAGGGAAATGATCATCTCAGTCTGTAACACAAGCCATGCTTTTTTAGCCTTTAAGTGCGATGGCTGACACTTGACCAAGTCTGTATGAAGTTCCTGTGCTTCACATCATATTGGTTTAAATGTCAGCATTTTCACAGCATTGTTATGCTGTCTTGCTGTTAACTGCAACTTAATATTTTGGTAGTATGAATTGTTGTTGCTGTAATATGGGATTACCTTGTAAAGGAGATTGCCTTGTGACAGGAGTTGGAAAAGAAGGATGATGAAGAAGAAAAATCTGAAGATGAGAAAGACAAAACAAAAGACAAAGAAGGTGAAGATGAAGAAGAAGCAGAAGAACCAGAGGAATATGATGAAGAGGAACATGAAGAGGTATAATGTCAGTTTTCCTCTTTATACAAACTCACATCCCATTCATTGAGTAGTGTGTTGGCTGGAAGCCAGAGAAATGTCCCTAGCTTGTCTGATGCCAAGGGAGAGTTGTTGTGGGGGGCATTATTGCATTAATGATCTTTGTTGCACTATATTTTGTTGTAGTTCATTTAAATGGGTGTTTTAGACTTATTATTCACAAAGAGCTCTGAAAAAAAGATCTTGCACACAGGACTGTGTCCTGCCACAATCAATACATACAATTACTCTTTTTCATCACTAAAACAGTGATGCCTCTTCTTTCATAGGTATCAGAACTTCATTGCAGTATTTTCCTTTTTCTTTGCCAAGAAAATAAAATTTACTACTGTTTTAAAAGGTGGGCACGGAATTGCAGTTTAAAGGATGTTTCTTTTATAAATTGTCTTCTCCACAGATAAAATGATAGATTTTTTTTCTTCAATTGGTTTAGGAAAATGACTACATTTCTTCCTATTTTGATGATGGAGATGACTTTGGTGCTGGCAGTGATGACAATATGGATGAAGCAACATACTAACTGTGGTTGCTAGGTGCTACACTGCTCAAGCCTTACACTACTTGAAGTAGAATTCTGGAGGTAGGCTGAATATCAACAGACCTAATGCTTTAGCTCCATTGGTTTTAAGCAGACTCTCCAAAACTACATTGGAGTTTAATTGTATTATGCTGTAAAAGAGGATATGAGATCCTTTGTTTTGTTCTTTTGCCAAGCGTTTTGCAGATATGCGCCTTTTTAAGGTCTTCTGGAATGCCTCCTGATGGAGTAAGCTATATGCCATTGTGTTGCCTCTGCACAGAAAAAGAATGTATGCATTTTACTTGAAATTGTGCCTAAGCATTTGCACTAGTCAGTTCTGTGCCTCAGCAGTGAAATCTTGAAACCAGTCATGAAATTATTGATGACTGCAGCAAAAGAGATTTGGCCTTTATGGACATAAACTGCTTGCATCTGGCAGCTGACTTCTCTGAGGAAGCTTATGTAACTTCTGAGTTCAAGTGACTGGAAATAATTGATGACTAAGCACTTTAATATAAACTGACTTGAAAAAAACTTAGAAGTATAGACAAACAATATGACAGTAATTTGAAAAGCCACTACTGTAGTTAGAAGAATACATTGCCTTTAGTATTTTGGTAAAATGTATTACATTATCTTTATAAATCAGCTTAAGTTATAATTAAGGACAATTTGATTTAAAAAGAATATATGGCAGAAGTTAGGAAATTACAGAATCCTGGTTTCACCAGTTAGTGAAAATTTCAGTCCTTTGCCTCAGTTTCTCCGCCTGTTACAGACTTTCTTACCTCACAGAGCTGTTAAGTGAGAAGGAAGATGATATGTATCTATGTAATTGTTAATGCATTTGTTTACTTCCTACAGAACAAACATGACAGAAACAGACAACAAATCAATAGAAAATAAAACCCAAAAATATAAGAAAATAATGTGGTGCAGTATTTTAATGCATGAGGTTTTTAATTAGAAAAGCAAGGGAAGAATGCTAAGAATAGCAAAACCAGAATGTTTGGAAACATCAATTTTATTAAAGAACAAAAGCTGAAGTTTTGAAAACTTATTACTGAGTTTGAATAATACAGTAACAGTGCATTCTTTGTTTCATCTTTTGATGGTACAAAATATTATTGGTCAGTGTAAATACATTACTATTAATTGTTGTAGTTTTTTGGGGTTGGTTGTTTTTTGTGTGTTGTTTTTTTTTTTTACTTTCTTAAAACATGTTCCTGTTAACTAGTGCTGTTACTGGCTCTAATGAAGAGTTTCAAACAAAACCAATTCTTTTTATCGGCAGAGGAAACTACAGTAGTTTTCCTTGCATATCTGGCATTCTGTCAAGCAGTACTTCACCTCACTGGTGATTGGGAAACAGTTCTGCATTATTCTATGCACTTCTATATGCAGTAAGAATTTAGTCCTTAAGGTGTAGCTTTTAAATGTTCTGATAAAATACGTATCATATGTAAAGGAAATGAAACTAAAATGCTATGCAGGTCACACCTCAGAGGTATACCACTTTTATTTTGAAGTGTTTATTAACTACAAATGTTTAATAAAGATTCTACTGCATTGCATAGGAAATACATTCTTTCAGGGTTTTTTTTTAACATCACACGTCAGCAGTTGGGTGTGCCTGCTTCTTATGTGTGATATACAAAATAGAGACAGAAGATGTGAGTGAGGTAAGCATGCTGAAAACTAAATTCACTTGCCATAACTGTAACTGCTGCTGCTGGCTGTTTGCCTCATGCAGGGTGAACAGTGAGACTCCTTCCCTCCAAAACAAGGAATGCAAATACATGGCTTTTGCTGAAGATGGAACTACAAAACTAAAACAGGAAAAACTACACAAGTTACAATTTGTTTGCAAGCTATGGCTTGCCTGAACAAGTACAATACCTGATCCTGTAGCAGACAGTAGTTCTTGAAGACCAATGACTTCCTCCACCCATCATACTGCTAGTGGATGAGACAACTGCCTCCCTGCTGCACTGTTGAGAAATACTACTCTGGCAAAAATCAGGTCTTTTTGAGACCTTTAAAAGGTAAACTGCAGTCACTGTCCTCCAGAGGGAACTGCAAAATCTTAGGCTGGGCCCTCTACGACTTGTTTAACAATGGCAAATAAGGCCATTGCTTAGGAACATGCCAAGTTCTGCAAGGACCCAGCTCTGTGCTAAGGCACTTGAAAGAGCAGTGAGTTGTGCTCTTCAAGAGGTGCAACTCTTTTTAGAAGCTGATTTTCTGATCGCTTAGAATTTATTGCAAGACCATAATGACAATGAAACTTTTCTTTGGCTGTTGGCAAACTTCAGATTTTGACAGGCATCTATTCAAATCCTGTATTTACAGCATAGAAGAAGAAGATTGCTTTCCGTGTGTAGTCATATCACCATCTAAGAATTTCACTGATCCTTACCTTAATTTTTCATATCTACTTCTGGGAATTTACAAGTTCGCAGAAACTTATGCGGAAAAGTTCCAAGTTTACAAGGCATGAACAGGATAAACCATTAAGGCTGCAGTTATGGTATGCTAGATGTAAATGCTATATGCAGCTACTGCCAACAAAATGCTTGCTAGCCAAGGATTTTTATTTTAGATCATACATAAAAACTGGCCAAAACAAATACGAGTAGGGGCCTCCTGTAATAAAACATGCACAGTATGTTAAGAATATATTATATGTACCACTTTCACTGCTGTCTAAAATAAAACCTTTATTTTACATGTATTACTTATGTTCTTCTAAAAGCAGAAGAGCAGAAGTATTTAAAATAAGACTTGCATCCTCACCCGGAAGTGTTTTACAAAGTTGTATTTTCAGGCTTTACAAAAGTTATACAAAGACTATTTGTGACAGTGTATTCCAAAGTATAGCAGATTTAAAACATTTCAATTTTATATGATCCAACAGTGCAATACGCACTTAAGTTAAAACCAACCTCCTGATCAATATGTTGCAATTAATCCAAAAGGTGATTTACAACTCAGTTATTTTGTGTTTTGTTGTTGGTTTTATTTTTAAGAAGTCAGTTTCTGGAAGACTAACTTTACAGATTTTAACTTAAGTCAGATTTAAGTTTCTTACAGAGCAGTTACCCTGTTTATTCAGAGCTGATGTGATGATGCATTTCCAGTTGTATTGTACTTTGGAAAAAAAAAGTAAAGATCCCTGCATCCTGGAGAAAGCCATGCCAGCTGATCTTTGTAGTTTACCAGGACCAGGAGTCCTACAATCTTGGAAAAAGACCTACTGCATCTTCTGATAAAAAGTGCTGTATGAAATAAGCTATGTCATACATTTGTAAAAACATTCCAGGCTCTTGATTAGAATGTAATATGGTACAGTTAAAGAGCTGTCTGTCCCTTTATGTTTTTCCAAGGACTACTTATCCTAAGGTAAATCAAGGGGACAGTAAGCCACAGGTATTCCAACACTGTAAAGGCCCAAATCCTGGGATAAAGATCTCTTCATCTGTACCACCATATAACAAAAAGCATCAGTTAACCACAGACCTCTGTATCCTTACATCAACAGACAGAGACCTTCCTGACCTAGTCAAACCACAGCTGAAGTTAATTTCACTTCTACACCAATGGCAATTTAATACCCATCAGTTCACGTATGTCCAGTAAAGGAGGCTTATGTTGCATTATCACAATAGCTAATTTAACCTGCTTTGACGAATCGGTAAGAAATGGAAGGATAAAGTATTAGAACTGTTGAGATTTCAGGAACAGAATGATAGGGGAAAAAGCAAACTAGTAAATAAGCTTGCAGCAAAAAAGCTGACACATTATATACCCAGTTTCATACCTTACAGTAAACATCTGTCTTCATCTGCCAAAGCTCTCTTGTCTGGACTAGAGTAAGTCCTTTTAAAGTTTTAACCCTAGAAGCTGTATCACTTTAGCCACCAAGAAGTATTTTGCAATGCAGTTTTTCATATAGCATTACCTAGAACTGGTACCTCAGTATTTAGATTTGTGTTACTGGCATATTATCTTCATGAAAAGAACTATTACTGTAAAAGAGCTTTGAAAACAAGGGTTATGTGAACCATTAAGTTCATGCCTGTTTGTAATCTCTTTTCTAGTGCAGAGACTATGAGTAGGCTCACTATCTCCACAGCTGCGCCTCTGAACAAAGGGTTCAAGAGCCGCAGGTTCACATACCTAACTGTATATACCATTTTCCCTCAAGCTATGGCCTGCCTTCAATATAATACAAGTTAGCCAATTCATGTTCATACACTTGGCATGTCAGTGAAGACTATCTGCGCCAAGAATAGATGGGGCCTAAGTCTTTACTCTCAGAACCTGATAAAGCACTTTGAAATAACTCATTAGTAAGGAAACATTCACTTTACCAGATTTTTTTATACTATATATATACCTATATACTTAGTCAAGACACTCAATGGAAAGCTTACAATAGTTGTTTAAAGGATACTGATTATTTTTCCACTTCTCTCTGTATAAGTTATAATCAAGTTAGTTAATCTTGGGTTTTGGTAATAAATAGTATTTTGAGCAGGGCAATGGAGCTTTGCTCCACAAGGTAAACACAACAAAAAAAAATTATAGGCACCATCTCAGTTTTTATTTAAAAGTATTCTGAGTACACAAGTTACTCCTTCTTTCTGTATGAAGAGTCCAGAGTTGTGGTTTTTTGTTTTGTTTTGATTGTTGCTGGTTTGTTTGGGGGAGGGGGAGAAAAAGAGGGGAAAACCAATGTTGATCATGAAACTCATGAATGTGAAACATTCAAGAACAGAACAGTTGATAAAATACACTACTATGTAAAGAACAAGTCTGAAGCTGCAACTTGTCTATTTTGCTGCAATTTGCTATCAGGCATTAAATCTCATTTGAAGTTTTCTAGGAGATTTCAGGAAAAAGTGTTTGAGGTTCGTGGGCACAAGACCATTAGCATATTCAGAACCCACATGACTAGCATCTCAAGAATCAGCTGGTCCTGAATTGAGATCAGCTGAAGGGGGAGAAAAACAAATTCATGTTACAGCAAGGTGCCACACTTCTGCACTTCTTTCATCCCTACACACAGCTGACCAGATGAGAATGCAGTCCAGTCAGTTTTCGCAGCATATCACAAATGAATGTGAAGTTTCAGGACGACTCTCTCAACTGGACTGTGTTGAAGCACAGTGTCACACACAGAGAAAACAAATTATCCTACTGCCTACATTGAAAAGTACTGAAGAAGGGGTTGACCACAGGCACAAGAATTAAAGATTCTGGCTTAAGTATTTGCTACTGCCTCTGTAGAAGTCACTTGTAAAAAAGGAACTTCATAGTGGCAATTAATTATGGAATGATTGGGTTCTAAAAAAAAAAATCTTACTCTATAAGAAAGATTAAAATATGAGAACAGCATTTTAATTGAAAACTGTAAACCTGATATTAAAATGTGAAGAGTACTATGAATTCTGTAAATACTTTCAGATGTTTAAAAGTTAAAATATCCCCATATGCCCATTTCTGGGCTGTAAAACGCACAGTGAGACTCCTTGTATGTTAGTTCAAACTACATTTTTTCACCTCATCAGTAATTAAAAAACATATGTCTATCAAAATAGAAAAAGTGCAAAGCTTCAGAGGCGATTTTATAGCTTAATTTGTATCCCAATCTTGCAAACTGCCTGTCTCAGGCATATTCAGAGATTACGTGATCCCCAGAAATATCCCTGTGGTGGAACTCTACCCATGAGGGCAAGTCATACATCAGTACTCGTTTCCTCTGCATTCCACGTACATTTTGCATTCTGTGGTTTCCCCTTTGCCTAACACTATGTTATGTGTCTACCAATAACAGTTACATGTGGTACTCTATTGTTAATGCTGAAAGTCTCCTTGATTATCAACATTGATAATATTAGCTGGATTTATTCCATTTTCTATTTGTTTCTGATGCGATACTGCTGTGACAAACAAATGGGAAGATTCCATTGTAGAATGGTGACTGACATCTGCTTTCACCAGAACTTCGTAATACAGGAGATAAAAAACTGGAGTTACTATGCCAATGATCAACATAATCACTACCGCTGTCCACCATCCTATACCCCAGTCTGCTCCATAGTAAGGATCCTTGCTTTTTTTAGTTTTACCATCAGTTTCAAAACAGACCTGTTGGGCTGCTAAAGCAGAAACAACTTCATTAAGATTCTCTCTCTTTGTATCATTACACTTCACTATTTCTTCTATATCTCGATCAACTTCTTTTAAGAAGTTGCCAGCAGTCTCATTAGCAGAGAATTTATCAGAAAGTGACGTTTCCTGCACTTCTGGGGAATAGAGAGCAGGCCGAAGGACTTGTCTTCCTTTTGGAGAGACATGCGTTTCAGTCAATACACTGAACTTTTTCACTGGAATTTTGACAGACCTCAGGGCAAAGAAATCTTGATCGTTGATAAGATTGTTAACTCTCTTGATATCTGCAACCTAAAAATAGGAACAACAGTTAAAACATTGCAGCTCCATTGAAACACAACTCTCTTAATAGTACCATATCCTTCAGAAATACAAGTCTTTCCTATGGAAACAAAGGCAAAACCTTTGTTTTGCTTTACTTTTTTTTTTTTAAATGGATACCCATTCAAACAGTATGAAGTGAGAAGGGGTCAAAGACCAAATCTGAACAACATTACAGCAAGAAGGAAATTAATTATGAGGTAACAAACCTTGTCACTTCATATAAAAAGACTGAAAGTCACTTCACAAATATGTGTTTATGTAATGTATGTTCATCCATCGCTTGGTAACTATCTCTGTGAAATGAATGAGACTTAACCTCTGTCTTCAAATGATGTAACTTACTGAGTTCCTAATTAAATTGAAAACTTCTGAATTAGGAATATTACAAAATAGTGAGTTTCCAATTTATCTAGCCACAGCTGTGTTTTTTGCTGCTTCTGAGGGCTAAGACAGAAACCAAGCATAACTTAAAAGTGTCATCCACCTACCCAAGTCAGCTCTCCCCTTTCCCTATTCTTGCTCAAAATGCATCTCATTTTGCTCTCAGTAAGTTCAGATTTTAAGTCTAATGTGAAAAATACTCTGCAGGGATTTAAGTGCCCTTGGATAATCACTGGCTTTCACTCTGAGATAGGAACTCCCTCACCACAGAGGGCACACCATAATGAAGTACTTCCAACCTACGAAGTGCTTTTCTGCAACACCTGCAAAGCACACAGGAATTGTGCCCATTTTAAGATGCGCTGTACCCAAGTTCACATAAACTTTATAACATGAATAAGTTTTTCAGGTCCTATAACAAGGTATTTGTTATGTGTCCCATGCAGAATAAATTGGATTAGCATAAAAAACTGCCAAATGCAGCATTTACCCAGTGGTTAGTGATCCCACCACAACGCAAGTTATACTTTTTGCCTAAAATTCCGGGATCGCTCTTCCACATTCTCCCGAATTTCCAAGAAAGAGCACAACTCAGTTACCTCATTTTTTATTGAGGCCTGATCTAGTAAACCTGCCCCAAATACTTAATTGCAGTGGGTTCTGAAGCCAAGAACTGTGTAATAAGGCTAAGGTCTGTCATGATTAGGAAATAGTTATGTCAAAACTTTAGTACCTAAGCTCACAACAGGAAGCCCCCAATTCTGTTTCTGCCTGAAAAATTAGACAATGGCAAAAGTTCTGTGAAATATGGATTCTGAATGTGACCTCTTGGCCCGTGCACACTTAGCAGTCAGTCCACCAAAACACACCACTGGTTTTGTGTTAAAACTGAAAATGCAAGCCACGACAGATGCCACACCGCCTTAATTAGTACTGGCCAGCCAAAATTACTGGGTAGGCAAGGCATTCAGCAGACTAAGGTAAGAACTGAGCTAGAAGCAGTGAGCACCAAGAAGGGCGTACAGGGGCAGAATGTTCCCAACGGTACAAGAAGTTCAAGCTTAAAATATTTAGGCAATTTAGCAGAACTCAGAATAAGACTACAGAGGGTTTTCCCCCTACTTTCATGGAATTAGGGCTCCACACACCTTTAAGTGGTTCGGCAACAACCCCCCCTCATCACCAGTCTAACAGCGAGGATGGCACTAAAGTGACAACCTTTGACTAACGTGTGGTCTCTGAGAGCGCCACAAGCAAAGCCATGCACTTGTTTCGTGCGCTTTCAGTAGCTTTCGAGGTTAAAGCCCACGGAACCGGAACGCTGCTGCCACAGTGACACCCTGACGTCATTTTCCACTCCTGAGGCCCGCGGCGTCCCCATGGTCCTTACCGAGCAGCAAAACTGCAGCGCGATCGCGTTCAGCGTGTCCCCTTCCCGGATGTCCCTCGTCAGCAGCACGATGTCATCCAGCCTGTCCCTGGACGTGCTCCGCCGGACCTTCTCCCTGCCCCGCGGCCGCAGCTCCGACACCTCACCCTCTTCCTCCAGGCCCTCGCTCTCGGCGCTCGCCACGGGGTACAGGTGACCGCCGGCGGGCGGCTGCGCCACAGCGGGTCCCTGCGGGCCGCTGCCCGCACCCCTGCCGGCCATACTCTGCAGGCGGCCCTACAACGCACCGCGGCCGTGCCGCCCTCCAAGGCGAGCACCACCCCGACCCCTCCTTCTCCTCGTCTTCGTCCCCGCCCCCGCCCAGCGCCCGCCGGCCCCTGGGGGGGAGGGCAGAGGGAGGAAGGGCCCCGCCTGCCCCCGCCCCGCGTGGTCTCGCTCCGCTATGGCCGCCGCGCCGCCACGTCCGCAGCGCCACCCCCGCCCCGGCTTCCGAGGGAGGCCGGACGAGCGGGAAGGAGCGCCGGGGGACTCGTCCGTGCGGGCCTGACGGAGCTACGCCGGCCCCGCGGACGAGTCTTTTCCTGCCGGCCGTGTGTCGCGGCCCCGCTGCTGGGCCGCCCGGCCCTGGAGGCTGGGGCGCTGTTCTGGGAGGCGCTTCACCTCCCCTTCCACTCGAGCCGCCCCTGTGCGAGTTCCGCCATGGGGTTTTCTTTTCGCTTTTGCTGATCCTCTTTGTGAAGAAATGGAGGCTGCTCGGGTACGAAGCTGCCGTGTATTTGGGCCAGTAAGAGACCCCTTTTTGCTTGTTAAGTATTCGCAGCTCCTCTGCATATCCTGTACCCGCTAGTCCTGCACTGCTGCGCCCTCAGAAGTTGCCGGGCGGTTTCCTTTTATGCCCCCACACCTGTCCCCTCAGGACTGGTCCTGCAGAGCTACAGGTGTGCAGCCCACGTTGATGTATGTATCTAACGAGAGAAACCGTAAATTGAGCCCTGTAGGTATTTCAGCTTTCCTCCCCTAGTAAAGTAATTTTCACTCTAAAGGACTGTCAGCAGCTGTTGGGATGCTGAGGCAATAGGCAGACTTCCTAGTCTAACTAGTAAATTTAACCCAGTGTGGGTTTCTCCTGACACAGCCTTAGAAGGAAGTTTTTGATTACAGCAGGAGCAAGTACAGTATTTCTTACAAAAACTGACAGCTCTAAGGTTAGGCTAAATATGTTGTAAAAAATGATTGCATTGTTGCTGAAGACAAATGTGTTTGCAAGTCTGGTTCCTATAAAGATTAAATCTAAAGTAATTTTAAATAATGGGTTTTTTTCTTTTTGTTTTTGAGCTTTGTTATATGATGTTTCTAGGCTTTCCTGAAGAGCCAAAGTGGCTAGAAATGTGTTTGAGTTTTGAAAACTAGATGACTTGAGTCTGCGGGACAGAAACATAAGAGCTAACAATTGTGTAGCTCTATTGAGTGTCACATTCACACCTACAGAAGCTTGATTGGAGCCACATTTCCAGACATTGTAAAATAAGCTATCAAGGTGCAGTGTTTCCTTGTGTCTCACCCTATTTTAAAGGGTAAAAATATTTGTATATCTATATGTACACACACATACATATATCTATAGCTACCCTCAAATACTGTTCTAGTGTGAATGAGGGATGGATCAGTTAAAATGAAAATGTGATTAAAAATGTGATTTAATGTGATTCAATGTGATTAAAAATTCCCAAGGCTTTTTCTAGCTAAATAGCATCTACAAAAAAAGCAATACCTTTTGCATAAATGTTCTCAAGAGCATAGAATTTCACCCTTGCAAGAGAAGGGTGCCTGAAAGAATATAAATATTCTCAGGTACAGAAGTCAACCGTAAGCCTAAAATAATGATATGGCCATTTCAAGGAAGTTTGCCCAGATCACTGCCCTTTGCGGAGAACCATGGAATAGTACTAACGTTTAAACAGGATTTCCTATCTGCAGGAAGTTGGACCTAGCTAGTAGAAGCTAATTTTCAGGCTTTCTTATTCTCCATTTGTTAAAATATTGCAGTAGATGCCAAGTGTAATTAGAATTTCCTCAAACCAAAGTTTCTTACAAGTCAGGACACAATTTCCAAACCATTTAGTAACCTAACTACGGGTATTTTCTTGGCACTTGGCCCCACGTAACATTTTCCTTGTTGAGTGTTCTAGATGTAATTAATGGCGAGCAGCATGGTGTCTCCTTGAAGGGCAATTTCTTTTCTTCTCTCATAGCATCTTCCCAATCAAAGCCTGCTCAGCAATAAGCTTCCTATTTTTATCATGGGTCAGATGCACAGCTTGTGCTGATTAGCATAGCTGCACTGAAGGCTTAGATACAGCCTCACTCCAACAAAGACAAGCTTGGATAGTTAGATTACATGACAAATGTGTGAAAATACTTGTAGAAGTCCCAGAATGATTTTATGTCTTTCTGGGTATGCCAAATGCAAGTAGAATGAATCTTCCACCAACTGTATTTCCAGAAAGAGCAATACTTAAGATGACAAAATTGAATGAATTCCCAATAAACCCTGAGTTTTCTCGTGGGATCTCAAGTTGAAGAAAATTAATTTTAACCTAGTGAATGAGGATTCCATCTATAAAGAGGTGTAATGCCACATTTGGCAAGGGATATCTGCAGCAAGAAGCAGTTCTGTTTTGTTTTTTAAAGAAAGCTTTCAGTAATAGAAGTGAAGCGACTGTAGTTGTCTGTAGCTGGGAAACTGATGACTCAGACCCTATTCATGCTGTTGAAAGACTGTTTTATGAGACCCGTCAGAGTGGTGGGTGGACCTGGAGAGGAGCTTGAAGGCAGACTTCATATGCAATGATGTTTGCAGTGGTGTCTAATGATTGTCCCATCATACGCCACTAATGGCATATCCTTTTGGAGGTTTTCTTTAATCTTTGGGTGGTGAGGCTGCGGAAAAGATCAGGACAGGGAATTTCACCATTTCTTTTATCTAAAAAGGTGTACTATCAGGTCAAAAAAGAACTGCTGAAGCAGCACTCTGTCTTACAGCATGAAAGAAAGTATTGGAGTTTGCTTTGACCCTGCTACACCCCTGTGTGTTACCATTTGTAACTAGTGACATTTTCCCATCAATAACAAAAGGGTATATTCCAAACTTGATGAACAAGACTGGAGCTGCCATGAATGCTAATAGGAATACAGCCTTTCTCCATCCCCGTGTAAGTTACTTTGCATATCCTAATAGTGCATTCTCAATGAGCAACAGGGTCAGTGTTAATCACTCCATGGCATTCCAACAGCAACTGCACGGATCTGTACCACATTCCCCTTGGTCATGTTATGTCTTGTGTAGCCTGATCAGAGCTAGGAAGTTAAGTATATACTAGAAATATTAAAAAGATCTTAATAAATTAATAGAAAGGAATTATAAAGGAGACGTAAGAGGGCTGCTAAAACTTGTTAGTAATTTTTAATTAAAAAAATCCCAGACATATTCTTTCCAGCTGGAAACTACCTACATGTCACGTGCCACCGTTTTTGTAAGTCATTATATGATTTGGGAACACAGGGCTAGATTTACATTTAGATAGCTAGTGTCAATTATCTAAATGTATGTTTTAATTGCTTGAATGGTGTGATTAGTTATGACTCATTAAGAGAATCACACAGAAATAAATATGCAGCCTATCTGTCTCTGTTCTCTGCTTGGTACTTAGAAGTGGTAGGAAAATCGTAGGAAATAGTAATGTTGAGGTAGATCGGCAGCTCCAGTGGAGACCAAATAAAGTCATTAAGCTGTGACTGTAAGAAGCAGTAAGAGGAGCTACTTAAGAATGCTAGAAGTATGCAAGAAGCAAATAATGCTAAATGTACAGACACTGTGTAGTCTGTTCTCCAGTGGAAATATTTACATGTTTACATTTAGCTGTAATGATAGAATCATTTAGGCTGGAAAAGACTATTAAGGTCATTGTGTCCAACCACTGATCCTCAAAACTAGCCAAAACCCTTTTTAGTTAGCAAGGTTCCAACAAGAAGAATGGGTTAAAAATGACCACAAAATTTAATTGTTTAATTTAGTATTGTTATGCTTTTAATGAGAATAAATGAAAAAAGGTAATTGGATTGAGACTGTATTTTCCCTATTTCATATTTCATATATTTGCTGTTTCCCTTTGGTTATTTGATGAGAATCAGTTACTTTTTAAAATTAATTTTATTTAAGTTTAATGTGTATTCAAAATAGAAATATGCTATGTGTCTTCCATAACGCAGCCAGTAGGGTGCATTGGTTGTTTGATATTTACTTTTCAAAAAAATGTAAAGAACTGCATATTTGCTTCTGATTTACATTTTATTTTATTCTGCTCAAGTATCCTCTGAATGAGAAAATCTATCAGTTATGGTAAAAACAGTATGCAAAAATGGAGTAGAGATTCTTGAAAATTTCTTTCAGATTATTCACAGATGAATTTTGCTGTAAGAGTCTGGACTCCTATTTGTATAACTCTGTTGATGAATAAGTGTTTCTGTAGTGTGATAAGTGAAGTGGGTTTTTTGAAGGTCTTTTTTGTTTGTTTTGTTGGGTTTTTGTTTGTGAGTTTCAAAGATTATCATATATTTCTTCCTATTTTTGCAGGATGATTTTTACTGTAATAAAGTGTAGGAATAGCTGTTACTTTTTGATATGTTTTCCCTGACTAAAGTAAAGAACCCTTTCAGAATTCATCTTGGTTTTTCTCTGAGGGAATTTTTGCACTGTCCTCAAGTCTTTACCGTGTTTATTTTTAATGAATTAAACATTCAGAATTTGTTATCTTCTGCTCTCTGCTTTCTCTAGCTCTTAGTTTTTGGTACTTTGATTTGTTTGGATCCTTTGTGGGTTTCAGCATTGTTTTTAAAATGCGGACACTGCTTATGCAACTTCAAATATCCTCCCCATTTGTGCTATATACAAAAGTAAATGATTTCACCACCCCAACTACTATTCACTAATATGCTGTTGATCACTGTATCTGAAGATTACAGTGGTTTTTGTTTTTTGTTTTTCCCGTCCCAGAATCACATTGGACACTTATGGTAAACCTCTTCTCTGTTTGACTTTCTTCAGATGGAAATGGTCCAGAAGACTTATGTTTTAGCTTTGAAGGTGTTCAGCAGTGTTAACATGACTTGTTTTAATGGAGCCAGCTTACCAGGTGAGCTGTATCAGTGTAATACAGTCATTTCCTTTCTGCTAATACTTACGTCACAAACAGCCAAGTGTGATTTTTGTATTTACAGGGAGAGAGTGTTGA